TACTCTCTCATCACGAAAATGCCGGGCAAAATCATGACATAAAGACAGATCCTTTGAAAATGTGGCATAGTTCAATTAAAGTAAAGTAAAGACAGTAACAAATTGAAATGTGATTCAGGAGAAAATTAAGTGGAGACTGAATTCGGGCAGTGCTTGTTACCATTCACTACATAACCCCTTACCTTCCGTCTGCTGTCTAAAAACGTAAACATTAGAATATACAAAATCATAACTTTTCCTGTGCTCTGTATTGGTGTGAAACTTGGTCTCTGGCACTAAGGGTGTTTGAGAATAGGGTGCTGAAGAGAATATCTGGACGGAAGAGAGATGAAGTGACTGGAGGTTGGAGAAAACTGTACAATGGTAAGCTTCATAACTTGTACTCTGCGCCAGGTATAATTAGAATGATCAAGTGAAGGAGGACGAGATGGGCAGGGCAGTAGCATGAATGGGGGAGAAGAGGAATGCATATGGGGTATTGGTGGGAGAGCCAGAAGGAAAGAGACCACAAGAAAGACGAAGTCGTAGGTGGGTGGATAATATTAAACTGGACTTCAGAGAGACAAGATATAGCGGTATGGACTGGATTGTTCTGGCTCAGGATGATCACCAGTGGAGGACTTTTGTGAAGACGGTAATGAAACATCGGGTTCAATAGAATGCTGGGAAATTCTTGAGTCGCTGCACAACTGGCGGCTTCTCAAGAAGGGTTCAGCTCCATGGATTTAATTAGATGAAGAGACCAACATTTATGTCTGCAACGTAACAGGATGCTCTTGCTCACAATCTGGCTAGAAGTAAAACTGTCACTGTTTCAATGCATTAACAGAACAGAAGTTCATGCTCCAGTCACAACTTAATCTGCTGCTTCTTTCCTGGCTGATAAGCCACTTATGTCTTGTACAAGATAATCATAGAACTCTATGAATCAGAGGCCTTCTTGAGAAGCTAAATGTCTCTCAGTAGATCAATTAATTTTCCGCCTATTATGAAACCTGAAGTTTCGTCGGCATGAACACAGGAGTCCACAACTGGACCACATCCTAAATAAGGAGAATACAACTCACATCATCGTCATCATCATGAAGTCCTATTCTTAGGATTCATCCCCACTATCTACGCCGGGTTATCCCAAGCAGCCTCTTCCTTTCAGGGTTGGAAAATATAATTTTTTGTCCTTTTCTACTCTCTTCAATGCGTGTTGCATATCCTGCCAATTTTATTTACGTTTATTTGATAATTTAGTAATCTTTTATGAAGAATATATTTTATGAAGCACTTAATTATAGCGTTTTCTCCAGACTCCAGCAAAGCCCCTCTTTTGAGATGAAATATTCTTTTCAATACCTTGTCTTTTTTATTTATTTATTTTATTTGTAGATTAATGAACGATTCTTTCAGTATCTAGAATATGTAGCATCTGATGATTGATGCGTTGGAAATGATTCGAAACGAAAAATACGTGGCTTAATCGAAGTACTATCCCGCCATTGGCTTGGAGGGACTGAGGAAAATCATGAAAACTCTCAGTTAGGATAGCCGATGCCCTGGCCGGAGGTCGAGCCGATCACATCCGGATTACAAATCAAGAGCGTTACCGCCAATTCGTTTGGATTCTTCCGCAAGAGTAAGATACCAATTTTCAAACGCATACAAAACAAAAGGTAAAAATAAAATTTTGTGTATTTTTATATTTGTGTTTTCAGATAGGATATGTAAAAATAAAAAATTCTGTACTAAATGATAATAGGCGTTCCTTGAATTAAATCTGCTGTTAATGGCGAAAAAATATGACAGTTCTGCCTGACAGATACCAGTCGAAACACAGTCCGAACTTCAAACAGAAACTGTCTACAACTTTCTCAGAGAACTGAAAAAAAGTGATCCAATTTTCTTCCAAACAGGTTCGTGATGGTATTGACTTTCCTTATGTACAGTTTACCTGAAACTGAGTGTTTTGTGTGTGCCGAATGAACACATTCAAACGAGCTAGCTCCTATAGAGGAGTATTTCATGCTCTGCAAACATCAGGCTTCACACATTTTAATATCAATAGTAACAGAATACTAAGAGGCCTCCGTGGTCTAGAGGTAACGTTCCCACCTCATGACTCGTGGTACGCGGGTTCAAACCCGGCGGAGGTCGTGGAATTTTTAAGGGCGGAAAAATTCAGGGAACAAGTCCTCCGGGAGGGACTTTAAGCCGTGGGTCCCGTGTCGTAGCTTTACGGCACGTAAAAGAACCTCATATCTCCAAAGGAGTTCACTGAGCCAAATTCAAGGTCATTTCCCGCCCAACAGTAGTCTCTAACGCCTCTGATAGATGGGGGAAGCATTATAGATACCGCCAAGCCAGTAGAGGCCGAACTCGCTGGCTCGGTCGGGACTGATGGTACGCACCAATATCGGTAGGGTATAGAGACTGGTAGAATATCATAGAGGGAAGCACAATGGACCAGTACTGGTCTAAGTGTATGGGGAAACCCACCCTCTCCAATAACTAACTAACTAACTAACTAACAGAATACTAGTGAAGATTACTATCTTCTAGGATGCTGTATAGTGTGGTAGATGTTTATCGACTTTCGGAGGAACGTGTTGCTTCCATCTTCATAGTCACCGCCGTGAGGACCTAAAATATATCATCAAACAATAACTCCGTGGTTGTAGTCCGCAAGCAAACTATACCGACAACTCTGTAGTTTAGTGGTCAGAGTTCTTGTCTATATATCCAGAGGTCCCGGGTTCGATTCCCGACGCTACCAGATTTCCTAGAATTTGACACTAACTTCGCCGACAAGCGGTGGTCGCTCTGTCGGTATAGTTCGCTTGCGGACTATAGCCCACGGAGTTAGTTTGTCAGATTAGGTTAAATAATTTTCAGGGTTAGGTTATGTTACATGTGCCTATGTCTGAATACGTTTAATTTAGTTTGGATCCTTAAGTTTCTTAACGTCGGATATTATTGCTCTTCTAACGGTAAAATATGTTATTTTCATCTCTGTATAGGCTACTTAAGGACCGCAGCTGTGAATTTCTGTGACGTCACTTTTGCGTTTGGTACGAACCTGATGTCTGTTTCCTCAAATACTTTTGGTTACGCCTACTAATTCCTCGAGACCGAATTATCGGCGTAGTGAGATTGGTCCTTGACCTCAATGTCACATTTAGTTCTCTTCATGTTTGTATCTCTTAATATAAAAAAAATAGCGGATTTCGGCCTTTACTTGAGAAAGATAATAATTCCTTCCGTGAAAGGAATCGAATCCCGGCCACATATGAGCCAGGGATACAGAATTTATATCTGGGAACTTCATCAAGAAATGTGGTGATGTTCAAATTTCAGTGACTATCAGCCGAGACACAGCTCGGGATGTCCACTGGAAAAGAGGCTGGGTAAGGTCCATAACCGTTCTAGATGTGGAAGCGAAGTGACACATATTATCTGCTTGCCAAAGAATCGAACTCCAGACCACAGTTACTTTACCGGCTGAACTGTTCTGGCGCAGCCTGTGTCATTCTTAATATCATCTCACAGACTCGTGAAGGAGCCCGGATACAGCAGTCGGTATAGGGACTGGCTAAGAGCTGGTTGACTGAGGGATCGGAGTTCGACTCTTGGTGAGGTCAAGATTTTTCTCTTCTCCACGTCGTCCAGACTGGCTCTGGGGCCCACCCAACCTCCTCTCAAATGGGTACTGATAGCCCTTTCTCCGGAGGTCAAGCGGCCGGCGCGTGAAGCTGACCACTAACCTCCATCTATTGTCGAGGTGACGAAAATGTGGATCTATATATCCACTCCCCCATACGCCTTCATGGTGTGGTGCTTAATTAGATAATTAGATCCCGCAAACTCGTGAGACTGTTACTATTCTATGAAGGCAGTTGCAGTACCTGAGCGGCTGAATGGACAGACGTGACTAGATGCAAGATCCTCTTCTGACCCCCCCTCCCTCCTCCCGCAAACATTTGCAACAAGGGTACTAAGTAGTTACACCTTCTCTCCATACCGAGTGGACGATGACCACCCACTGACCACGTAAGAGACCCTCGTGCTATATGACCTTACCTGCCTGATCCGTAACATTCTCATACCCTTAATTCGCTCCTAGAAACGTAATTAAGGGAATGGTAGTGGGGATATTGCACGGAAATTCCGGACAGTGTGTTAATTTCTGCACAGAAGAGAAAGTTATTCAAAATTTGGTGCTGTTGTTTTGTTTTGGTGTGAAACTTATTCTTTTATACTATGGAGAAGTGAGGGTATTTTGAGAAAGGGGTGTTGAAATGAATATTTTCTGAGCCAAGAAAAATAAATACTAACAGGAGGATGGTGAAAGTTATGCAATTAAGAACTAACAGACCCTATAACAAATAGAACGTGATATAAATTTTAAAGCGACATTTATTTGTTTTAAGTTATTTTATATGTATTAACTGGCCGAACAACTAATGTATTAACTCAATCATTGCAATACTGTAATTACAAGAATGGTACAGGATATCACATAATTTTAGTGTTCAATTTGAATAGGAAATTCTCTTTTATTGCGCAGCCTTACTCTATAATGACGTCAAACTTCACAAAATCCCATACTGAAGCCGAGCCTTAGCAAGTACAGTCAAGTTTAAAACATTACATTTTATTTTCTCTAAGACGCATCTTAAAAATATTTTAATAACCTCAGCTATTTCGCGAAAGCGACCTATCCATGAAATCTTTGAATACAAATTCATTCACTTGGTTTTCTGTGTGTATACTTCACGTTCCTCTGTCCCGTTGTTTTCATGTAATCGTCAAAATAATATTAAATTAAGGGTATAGACAATAAAACTCCTCTCAATTAATTTATGCACTCACCAGGTCTAATAATACTGGCTTACTGTGGTCTCAAACGCCCTGAACATGACAACAAATAAACTTTACTATCAGGGCGATTAAATGTACTATGTTTGTCGCTTTCTGGAACTACGTAAGAATTCAATTTGTTTCGATTGCAGCGTGGGAATCGGACGAGCGCACTTCGAGAAACAGCCTCCCAGCAACCTACGGAAGTCGAACTTCTTCCACTTTGTGATCGCCCTGTACGACAGGGCAGGGCAGCCGGTTGAAATCGAGCGAACTGCCTTCATCGGTTTCATCGAGAAAGATCAGGTAAGTACAGTGTAGGTGTAGGCCTGAAGGTTAAAATCTAGATCGAAAATAAAGTTAAATAATAATAAAATTACAAAGAAATCCGGTTGCAACTAATTAGGTTGTAACGTTACAAACAATTAGTTTTTTTTTAATTCGCTTAGTGGGGGGTGGAGTCCAACTTGGTCCACTCGGCATGGTGGCCACTGATTGGCCTATTGTAGCCTGCCCTGGGTGATTATGATGATGGAGAATTTAGTGGAATTAAGATGGGCAGGGGAAACCGAAATACTTGGAGAAAACCAGACCCAGCGCCACTTTATCCACCACAAATCCCACTTGACCAGATCCGGGATCGAACCCGGGCCGCCGAGGTGGGAAGCCAGCGATTAACCGCTTAGCTATGGCGCGGCCAACAATTTAAGTTGGTTAAATAACAAAATAATTTCAAAACAGAGTGGGATAATTTCAAGAATGTTAATAGAAACAAGTATTTCTGCAAGAGACAAATTGCCTACTTTCTTTGACAGCATAGAAGGCGAAAAGTTTAGGGAAGCACCCAGACACACAGGCAGCAAGGTGATCGCATGTTTCCTAGCAAAAGTTAGGTATTGTACAGAGACAGATATAAACGGACAGACCGGTAGACAGACAGCAAGGTGATCTCATAGGCCTCTTTTATTTTTCAGAATAAAGGAAAGCGGGCTAAAAAAAAAGAGATAATTATTTTTTAACCTTATGGCAGTTCCATTGCTTTTATATATTAGTAAAACACGGACCAATAGAAAGAAAACAAAACTATTATAGGTCATAGTATATACATAATATGTAGTATAGTGTATAACAACAGTGAGATCCATTCGGTTTACATGGAAAATTTACGCCGAAGACGCGATAAAATTGTAACTAAAAACCGGACCTGAAGATGGCACACGCTTGTCGAAGTATGTCGTCCTTGACAGCAAACTCGTACCTGCTGTAAATAGAGTTGTATGGACAGGAATATAACAAATATTATCTACAGTTTTTATACGTATTATTTACTCAGGGACCGTCTCTGTGGTCTAGTGGTCAGAGATCTCTGCCTACAGATCCAGAGGTCCCGGGTTCGATTCCCTGCGCTACCAGATTTTCTCAGAATTAGTGGGTCTGGAACGGGGTCCACTGAGCCTCGCGAGAATAATTGAGGAGGTATTTCAAGGAAATAGCGGCTCCGGTCTAGAAAACCGAGATTAACGGCTGTGTGGATTCGTTGCGCTGACCACGCGACACCCTCTATCCGCAAAAGTTTGCACTAACTTACTTCTTCGACAAGCGGCGGTCTCTCGGTCGGTATATTTCGCTTGCGGATTAAAACTACGGAGATTTTTTGTTTATTATTTACTCAAGAAGAAAGGGAGATTCAAAACTGGCAATTCAGACAAATGTGTCATAGTAGGACGAATGGCGAGTGACTATACTCGTAAATGATGATCTGAGAAGGGTGCAGAGGGTACAGTGATGAAATTAGTTAAGATTCTCAATCCCAATTGCCTGGAGTGAGTGAGAGCTAACAGGAAAACACTCAATCAGAATTGCCAGCCTCTCGATTGAGATTCGAAACTGGGACCTCCCTAGACCTGGATATTCAAGCGTTGATGCAGCCTCAACTGCCACTCCAGGCTCATAGTATGGGCCTAGGGCCTAATAATGCGACTCAGGTTTGACCTTTCGTAATGAAGGGATGGTGTGACGTGTTGATAGTCGAACTACAATACCAATCGATTTATAGCTGCAGCGACAGTGTCCTGCTGTGTGATTGGTTCATACCTGATAATATTATACTCAGTACTATATTGTCACACAATATGACTGGTTATTGTTACGGTACAGCTGATAATTCTCTGACATTGTGATAATCACGTATAATGCTCTGGAGGCATCGGTCTATACGCCTGCGCGGCAGCGTTCACAGTATGCAGATTCTCTGCTTTGGAGCGCGTCACAGATGGGACTAGAAAGCCCTCACTGGGCCATAATTTTGTATAGATTCCAGGCACCCCTGATGCACTGCTGGAATTCAGCGTAACCTAGAACTGGTCACTGTTTCGGTCGCCAGATATAAAAATAAAAGAAAATTTCACACGAAATTCACAGAGTTCACCAATGCGAAAATTTCCATATTGACATGAAATTTAAGCACGATTCCAGAGCAGAACATGTACTTCAGGGAATAAAATGCCATATAATCCCGGATATGAGGATAAAGGTAAAGTTATTCCTGTAAGAAGTTCATAGGCTATGAGACGTTGAGGTTCCCACATTTTCTATACAGTCGACTCACAGATTGCTGTAAGGTTATCAGCCTCAGGCGCCGGCCACCCTCTGTCCCCAGGATAATACCCGGTACTCATTTCTGTTAGAGGCTGAGTCGACCCCAGCGCCACAGTTCTTCTGGAAGGAATAGTTCAATTGAAAAATCCAATGACCTCGTCCAGAATCGAACCCACAACCTTCAGGCTTGTAACATAGTGCCTCAACCAACTACGCTAGCTCGAACACAAAATATAAAGGTACTCCCATTTTTAAATGAGAAAATTAGAACAAATATTTTTTTAAAATAAAATTTGAAGTCATTTGGTTCTGAGGGTTGTAAGCAAAAAAAAAAAAAAAGAAAGAGAATTATAGCATTGTTTAGAGTTAGGCGTATGTGAGCGCCGCATTGAGGTGATCAGCACTGCATTATAGTTTCGTTCTGGACAAGAAAACTCAACTTGGTAGAGAGGCACGCGGTAACGTAGTTGGTTGAGGCACTATGCTACAATCCGGAATGTAGGGGGTTCAATTCGCGATAAGGGCAGTAGATTTCTCGATTACCCTAAACCTTCCAGCCGCATTATGGCCCTGGGGTCGATTCAGCATGTAACACAAATGAGTACCAGGAATCTTCCTGGGGCATAAAGTGCGACAGGCGCGTAAGGCTGACAACCTCACCTCTATCCGTGAGCCGATTGTCTAGAAGATGTGGGAGCCTCAACATTTCACATGGGCCTCCACGGCCTGTTACATGGATAGCTTTATCCATTTAACTTCCTGGAACTTGATGAGTCACAATTGTGTCTAAGACTGTAGTTCGAATAATGTTTTAAAACAACATTCGTTATATTATGTGTTTACTTCGACGTCAAATTGGCCAACGTCCTATTTCTTAGGAGAAACACGTATTAGGAATTTACTACACGTCTTGTCAGATGTAGGAACACAGGCATACGTATTTTCCTCGAATGAGTCACATACAATAAGACCGATTAAATATAGCATGTGAATTAAATTGATGTTTTAGAAAACCGAATTCAGTCCCAAAAGCAGTATTCCATATAAAGAGAATTTTGTAATGCTAGTGGGGTGGGACTAAGTCCGTTGTACTGCGTCCACTTCTGGCCTATTGTACCAGCCCCAGATGATAGGTGAGGGTGATTGTGGAGAAATTGGACCAACTGCTTGAGCTTTGGCGCAGCCCCAAAGCGAAATTAGAAAGACTCTGATAAGATGATATTGCCTAAGCAAACGTAAACACAAACACGGTACGTGATTCCGTATGCACTGAAGTGTGCTGCCGTGTGGGAAAGGTTGAATAAAGTTACCTCATGTGTCACCTACAAAGTCTCCACCTTCATCCTGAAGTCCTTTGGTGCACAGAGAAGTTGCCCCCTTAATTTCTTCCGCAATTTCCCATTCCTCGAGTATTCAGCGCTGCGCATTACCGAACTGTTGACGTCAATGAACTAGAGACGCTACATAAAGACCAACAGAATATACGAGTTAGAGCAGGAGGAAAGAGAGTGGGAAGAAGAGAGACAGATATATGGTGAGGAAGGGAAAGGGGGAAGAGAGGGCAGGGTAATTGTGTTCGTGGCGATGCAGGAGATTAGGGTACGAGTCGGGAAGAACATTTATCATCAAACCAGAGTGGAGTGGCGGCACGAGCGGTGGAAGGAGGTACTACACTACATCGTCCCAACATTTTCATTGTGAAATTTGTGGGTAAAGTTGTTCCGTTAGCTAGGTCGGTAATACAGGGCCACAAGAATATAACATTGGTACTAAAGCGCAGGATTAAGCAGAAGCACTGATCAAATTCCATTCCACTCCTACTACAAAATGGACGACACTGTTGGAGCCATAGTTCTGATCATAGCGACTGGCTACGGGCTGGACGACCAAGGGGTCGGAGTTAGAGTCCCGGAAGGGGGAAAATTTTTCTCTCTTCATGTCCATACCGGCTCTGGGGCTCACTAAGCCTCCGATGGGAAGCGAGAGTAAAGCGGCCGGGGCGTGAAGCTGACCACTCACCTCCAACTAGTGCTGAGGTCAAGAAAACGTGGGTCTCTACATCCACTCCTACATACGTCTTCATGGTGTAATGCTCAATTAGTTAAGTACAGGGACAAATTTATCTTTTTTGTCTTTTATTCAAAATAATGTTACTTTTTATGTTTTCAGTTAAAACACGGAGTTAGTATATTTATTTAATGGAGGGGAGTGTGTCCATGCTAGATCTTCTTCTGCCTCGAAGGTACCCAAATTTGAATTTAAATATTTTTAATTTTGTAGATAAATATTTATTTTTATCATTCCTATTTTGGATATTAATTACCATATTCCTTTCTCATTTCTTGTTGTAATTGATTCATGCACCTAATACCACTTAAAGCCTAAAGCTATCTCTGTAGGAGGCCGTGGAGGGCCATAGGGCTGAGAGACATCGAGGCTCCAAAATTTTCTAGATAATCGGCTCACAGATGGCGGCGATGTTGTCATCCTTACGCGCCAGGCACCGTTTAAGCCCCAGGAAGATTCCTGGTACTCATTTCTGTTAGATGCTTAGTCAACCCCAGGGCCATAATTCTGCTGGAAAGATTAGGTCAACTGAAAAATCCAATGAACTCATCGGAATCGAACCCAGTACCTTCCAGGTTGTAGCACAGTGTCTTAACTACGTTACCGCGTACCCCAACTAATAACACTATATAAACATATTGGAACTGCAAGGTAACTAATTTGTTAAATTAAAGCACATATGTATCGCTTCCTCTGTGTTTAGATTTGGCGTTAGATATCGAGTAGGCCTGCAATCGAGTAGGGAATCCCATATTCTAAGTTAGACCAGTGCCGCAGAAACTTTCCTATGCCACTGAACACAGACGTACGTACTGTTTCCATAACACGCAGAGCAAGTTGGAAGAAGAGGAAATATTTTCGGATTTATTCCAGCCATCCTCATTCGAATATAGTTGTAGGTCGAAAAATCGACGATCAAGTACAGACATATGTATTTTTCTGACATAAAATGTATGTCCCAATTTTTACGAAGAGTTCGATAAGATTCAACATATGTTTTCTATGTAAAGCTAGGTAAAGCTATCCCTGTAACGGGCAGTGGAGGCCCACACGTTTGTGAGGCGCTGAGACTCTCACATTTTCTAGATGATCGGGCTCACAGATGGCGGTGAGGTTGTGAGACTCTAGCGCCGGCGGGAAGATTCATGGTGCTATTTTCTGTTAAAGTCTGAGTCGACCCAACCATAGTGAGGCTGGAATAATTAGGTCAACTGAAAATTTTAATTACCTCATAGGGAATCGAATCCGCCACTTCCCGGCTTGTAACATAGTGTCTCAATTAACTAAGCTACCGCGTGCCCCTCTTAACATATGCATACAATTTAAAATTAAGATACGTTCCTAATCTAGCCTCTTGCATTTATTATAGTATCGATTGCGTACTGTCACGTGTCACAGTGACTAAGACGCGGTTTTGGATTGGTAATTGGATTCATTTAGTACTTATATATCGTAACTACAAATAATTATAACACTATTGCTAATTTACACAGTTTATAATCACTCCGCACTAGTCCTCACAGATTTATAGCACAAGAACTAAATCACACACTCCCAATATCACTGTGCTACAGCACACATAAAGTCTTCAAATCACACGTTAAATCTTTACAGGCTGACTTCTTGTGCTCTTCTTCAATTACGGACTACTGCGGCTCCTACCGAGATCTGACTCGTCTGTGAACCGAACGAATTCTGTCACTTATATAGACGAGGAATGGACGTGCATCACAGGAAACACATGTCACGTGACCACCGTCCACCTCTGCGTGAGGCCACCGCGGACACGGAAAACACAGCCTCCTCTATCGTTGCGTGCGCGTATTTCAGGCGTGGTCTAGAGATCACGTCTTTCTATTGTTGCGTGCTGGAACATGTTTACCGAGCTGTGGCCTCTCAAAGCCTATTCACGCTACAATATTAAGCTTTAAGGTTGTTCTTGTATAAATATTTATCATATAATTAAGATTTAAAAGGACAAGAAATGTCTCTCTTCTCTACGGAATTCAGACCGCTCTGGGGCCCTCCAAGAGTCTACTAAATAGATACTAGGCGTTCTTTCCCCAACGTTAAGGAAACCAAATCATCATCATCGCTCTCATTTAGGGCCGAGGTTAAGAATCCGTGACGGTATACGAGTAGATCCACTCGCTCTGCCTTCCATGGCGCTGTGCTTAGTTAATATATTATCTAGTGTTCTAGAAGAACACTGCACTTGATTTAATCGTGAATGAGAAAGAAAATTATGCTGGTGTTATCTGAGAAATATCGACGCTATCATAATATTGATATCAATCCCTCATTCATCTGTAATCTGTCAAGACGACAGGTCCACAGTCTCTTCCAAAACAGTTCCTCCACTTGATGCGCTCTAGAGCTTTCTCCTTCAAATGAAAATATCCTCTTCTGTCCCCAAGGTCATCCAGCATCTTCTTACGTCTTCTTCCTCGTCTTCTGGTCACGTTTATCCGCCCCTCTATATTTCCTTCAATAACTTCTTTTAGAAGGCAGTTACCGCGTAAGATATGACCAATCCAATTAGCCGTCAGTTTTCTTATATGTGGAAATTGCTGTAACCAAATATTTAAACATACGGAAGACTACTGTCTCTGCTGAAACACTGAGAAACTTTCAGACTCACTGGGAAGATTCATCTTCTCATCGCAAACAAATCGCGCGAAAGATGAACTATTCCAGACACACAACACGTTTGAGGGTAGGTGAGAAAATGGCTGACACAAGTGAATGAACGTTCAGTATGTGAGCGACTGAATGAATATGTACATAAAGAGGGCATAATTTCATTGATGATTACTTGCGGTTTGTCTGTTTTACAGGAGACTGAAGGCCAGAAAACCAACAACGGCATCCAGTACCGCCTACAACTGCTTTATGCAAATGGTAAGTAAAAACGGGTTCTTATTTGCCACTCGAAAGTCTCAAAGTTTCGAGAATTTCATTCACAGAGGATACTATATCTGATTTTAGAATGGATTTCAATTTATTCAATTACTATAAGCAGAATGCGGTGGACTTTTTCAATCGATCTAATCCTTCCAGCCGTATTATGTCACTGGGGTGGACTCAGCCTCTAACAGAAATGAGTACCAGGAATCTTCCTGGGGGTAAAGGGCGGTTGGCACGTAAGGCTGACATCACCGCCACCTGTGAGCCTGTTCTCTAGAGAAAATGTAGGAGTCTCAACATCTCACAACCCTGTGGGCTTCCAGATACTGTTACAGGGATAGCGTCACTTTTACCTAACTATCAGCAGGAAATTATTATGAGTAGAAAATTACTTTATCCTTACATATTTACTATCGGATAATAAAACATTACCAAACCATTTCAATCCATGTAAGTTTTGAGGTTTTCACGGCGATGACTATGAAGAAAGTCGTCTTCTGGGTTTTGGCGCCGTGTATTCTTGGTTTTCTTCATTTCAATCCAGTCCACATTTTCATTATTTAAAATTCTGTAACATTTATCTTAAGAATTGCCCTCCGACTGATTCTTGGTCTTGCAAGTTATATGAGTGAGAGAGCTTCATATTAAAAATTCTACTCGCATTTACTGTTTCTTCCATCCCTGATACACGATGAGTACATAGCAAACTACTCTGCCTGGATCCTGTAATTGTATAACGTTATATACAAATATAAACTATGAAGTTGCTCGTTGTGTAATCTTCTGCGTCAACTCTTATGACCAAATCCTTTTTCGAGCGTTTTTATAAAAGTAGATCCAATAGTGTTCTTCTCTGAGAGTAAGGGAGTGTGTCTCACTGACACAATATACAGAGTGGTCCTAAAGTCAGTTAACCTAAATATTCGCTTTTATTAATGGAAATGTTCTGATTTGAGCCTGCCACACAATTTGTGTAACGGTATTCGAGCGTTATGAGAAGTTGCACTGAACACGGAGGACTTCATTTCGAACAATTTTTGTAAATTCAATAAGTATTAAAGGAATTTCTGACGTATTTTAATGTACATTTTACTTCCCTCTTAAGTGACTTTGGGTCAATATATACTGTTGAAACTTTTGCAAGATGTAACAATTCACTTGATATAAATGTCGAGTGTTCCTTATCTCCAATACGTACAGCACACGAATGGAAATTTTCAAAATTTTGCTCCTTGTCTCCTTTCCAAACAGGTTCATTGGGCCTTCTCCTACTGCACAGTGTTAATTTACTGCACATACACTCTATTATTTAAAGCTAATAACACTATAGAACAAATGAATTTAATCTTAATTGCTATTTCCTTGTATCATATATTATTTTACTGTGTAGAAAAAGCATTCAAATAAAATTCATATTCGATCTTAATAAGACATACATTCTGTTATTAATAAACGTATTCTATGACGAAATATTTGCAAAAAAAAAAAAAAGACAAATAAGTATTTTACGTAAAGTAGGAATTATATTGGGTTTATATCAAATATTAAATGTATATACAATTCTCAATAGGAGCTTTAGTATATATTGTAATTCCACATTGGATGACATTATATAGAATAGTTTCGAAGATGAAACCTGAGGAAGGTGGGAAGGCACAGCATTTCCTTCAGTTGACAATTTGTTTAAAAGTACATCAGAAGGTTCTGTAGATTTCCCCAAAAGGGAATTATTAAAGTTGAATTCTGTTTTACTTCGGAAAATACAACTCCTGTAATTAAGACTCTGTTTCATAAAACCCTAAACTAGGTTCAACGTTGTATTCAGACATAAAAAGGCAATGTCCGACTGCCACACATTTGAGAGATAGTCACTGGTTCGTATGCCGCCCTGAATTTGGATGTTTGTAAAACGCGGTCCTCATTGTCATGGTTATGGCCTTCGGATGGATGCCCCTTTCATGTGGTTATATGAAATTTCAGAGAGATTCATTCAGCAGAAAATTTTACGCTCTTAATTAAAGACTTCACACACGATAGACGAAAAATAAATTGTTATAAAAAGGAAGCAATAAGGACTATCAATTATAATAGGTAGAACTTAAATTTTTACATATTGTTCTAAATATGCCTTACATATTTCTGTCCTATAAGGCAGTCATCAGAGGCCTAAGTGTTTAAGAGGATATTTTCCTTGGCACTACAGCCCCAGTGGGCCTAGGCCTACCTCCATGAACTTCCGTTCACTTAGGTTTTTCTAGATCTTACACAGATGGTAGGACTTCACTCGGTTTGTACAGCCATGACTCGGTAGCCAAGACTTCGTTTGTTAAAACAAGAAGTATGAAGTGGAAGCTGGGTCGACATTTAGGAAGGAGTGGATTCATACCACATTCCTGCAGTCGCATGGTAAGAGTGTGATGCACCCTTCATTCATTCATCAATGGCCCTACAGCCATTTGTTGGGCCCTGGCTTCTTCTGTTTCGTAATACTTTTACACAGACGGTAGGACTCCTCGGACGAGGGATCAACCTGTCGCAAGGTCGCTACTTACACACAAGACAAAGGCCGTGCCATAGCTCAAGCGGTTAGTCGCTGGCTTCCCACCGCGGTGGCCCGGGTTCGATCCCGGGTCTCGTCAAGTGGTATTTGTGGTGGACAAAGTGGCGCTGGGACAGGTTTTTCTCAGAGTACTTTGGTTTTCCCTGCCAATCTTCATTCCACCAATTGCTACACAATCACCCTCACCTCTCATCTGGGGCTGGTACAATAGGCTACAAGTGGCTGCAGTACAAGGGACTTGGTCCCACCCCACTAACAACAAAAAATACACACAGGACAACATAAGCACAGAATAAACGCACAGAGAGACACACATGACTTGAGCGGGATTCGAATCCATGATCCAGCATTCAGTTTACGCCTTAGACCGCGAAGCCACTGTGATCGGCGCTAGAGGTTTTATTGACTGATATTAAGAAAGAATTTTAATATAGCTACGTTTCGTCCTCAGGGAAAATGAATGAGAATTTACCCCTATCTAAGAATTTCTCTTATTCTGGGTTTCTGGTACAAGGCATTTGCGGGGTAGCATGAGACGGCCAAGACACGTTTTCAGACCCCAGAGTGTGATTCTCTGTTACATAGTCCCATTTCTTTCCCTTATTTTAGCAATTCCAACCAACAGTGCTCAACAGTTTATCTTATCTTGGGTCTCTGCTAATGCGGTGTGCTTTCTCAACAATACAGTTAGGTACAACCCGACCATGTTTCCGACGTACGCTTATAGAAGGCCGTGTTGTTTCCATTCAAAGTGGTCCACTTATAGTCGGAATCCTGCAGTTGTGGTTCCTATATAAGGTCCTGGAAAAGCTCTTGTGGGTTCACAACGGAGAAAACCGCAAAACCACGTGGAGAGGGACTCTTGAGATTAAGCGAATGTACAGCCTCTAGCAGAACATAGAGTCACGTAGCACTGCATACAGCAGAGGGGAGAACAACAGACTATACGCAAATGAATGAAGTAACGACAAGATTTTAGGAAAACTAAAGCTATGAACTGATCCTATGACTACTACGATAGAACAGAAAATAACTGATGAAACTTTCGAAAGTTTGACACTTTCGACTACATTTTTCTGAAGTCACACTGAATTGACGAAACTATTAACCGTCCCACTGATATGTAACTATCAAAGTGGGCCTAACTGTTAAACTATTCGAACGTAAACTCGGGGACCAGGTCGTGCCATAGCTCAGGCTGTTAGTCGCCGATTTCTTACCGCGGCGGTCCGAGTTCGGGCCCGAGTCAGGACATATTTGGTTGGTGGTGGACAAAGTGGCACCGAGGCAGGTTTTCTCCTAGTGCTCCTAGTGTTTCGTTTACAGCTGTCAATTCTCATTCCACCGAGTGCTCCACAATCATCATCTGGGGCTGGTACAATAGGCCAAACCGTGGCCGTGGTAACAAGCGGACTGTCTCACCCCATGAAAGAAATAAAAAAAGAAACCTCGGGGTCCAACGGTTGGGGGGGTTTAGAAGAGAGCAGAGCTCTGCGTTGTCATTAAACGGCGTGAAAATTAACCTGATGGAGCCGTGTCCTTCTTGAGAAGCCAACAGCATCTCAGCTGGTCAAGAAATACNATATATATATATATATATATATAAAGAGAGGTGAACTGGAGTAGCGCGGAAGTAAGGCGGGATAATGTGAACAACAAGACAGTGCCATTTTCTGTTCCAAAGAAAGCACGAAATTCTTGGCCAACTCTGTATTTAGTTTTCCAAGAATTATTCTGATACATGTAAATACACATAATTAATTACTTATTTAGTTAGTCTGTTAGTTTTTCAGTCGAAGTCGGTTCACTTAGTTGAAAACGTGTGGCGTAAATAGTGTAAGTCTGCTGCTAAGAAACGTTTCAAGAGAGTAGCATAAGTGCAGTCAGTGATACACAGATTCCCCATGCCATATCCTAGCAAAGCCCGGACGGTCAGTCTCCGGCTTCCCACCTCTGCGGCCAGGGTTCGATCACAGGTCAGGCCATATGGGTTTCGTGGTGGACTAAATGATGCTGGTGCGCGTTTCCTCCCGAGTACTTCAATGCCCCCTGCCAATTCTCATTCCACAAATTTCATATTAATTAATTTATCATATCACCGACGTTATATAATTTTGTTGACGGCGTCGTTAAAAGTAACAAGAATAAAAGATGACACACTATGCTAATAACACTGAAGACAGAACCAACCGAAAAGCCACGATTCCCAAAACATTAGGCCTTAATATACAGATTAATGTGCTTAATTTTAGCTTCAATATTAATTCCAGCGTTTAATCCGCTCTATGGGCGGACAGGCAGCTCCATGTTATGATTATGAGGAGGCTAATCTAAAAATAGGTCTACACTAAAACTGTACTCCAGTGCTGCTATGAATATGAATTTCCTTTGTTACTGAAGAGACTATACCTTGCTCTGAAGGGAAGAGACACGG